CCTCTTCCTACCTGGGAGCCCAGCTCTTTCCTCTGCCTACCTGGGAGCCCGGCCCCTCCCTCTTCCTACCTGGGAGCCCAGCTCTTTCCTCTGCCTACCTGGGAGCCCAGCTCTTTCCTCTGCCTACCTGGGAGCCCGGCCCCTCCCTTTTCCTACCTGGGAGCCCGGCCCCTCCCCCTGCCCACGTGGGAGCCCAGCTTGCCTCCCATCTTTTGTCCACACCAGCCAGAGAAGGTCAGTGTGGGAGGCAAGTCACTCTGATGCTGTCCCAGTCCTGGTTTTCGTTGTCGTGGGATGTGGAGGCGAACACTCCCTTCTGCACTGCAGGCCAGCGCTGCACCATAAGAAGGGCTGACCAGGGAGGCAGCTGGGGGCACCAAAGCAAGCCTTCCACGAAGTGTCAGAGGTGAGTCCAGGCCCGCCTCTGCCGCCCACTTTCTCCAGGTGGGACTGTGAATAAGTCACGTCTTCTTCCCGGCTTCAGTTTCTTCATCTCTACATGGGAGATGGGGAGGAGGGCAGCTGGACCAGACAACACAAGAATGGCCCCTTGCAGGCCTATGTTCTCTGCAAGAAGGAATTAATATTCCTATTACATAACCACAGCATTCCGATCGTTACTAAACAGAACACGCTCGCTCCAGCCCCGGCCCCAGCCCCACTCCCTGCATCACACAGACTTGGCCTGGAATGGGGTGAACGAGCAAAGGGCGTCGGCAGAGGAGGAAGACTTCTCCGACAAGTCTCTTCTTAGCCTGGGATGGAGGGTGGAATAAGATTGTAGGAATCTTCCTCACGGGGAGACCATTCAGAGACAAGCCCAGGACAGCCAGCTTCATTCCCGACCCCACACAGGGAGCGTTGGGAATCTGATTTCAGAGAATTCTGCGCTGCGAACACTAAGTACTTGTTCTGTTCCACCTCTCTGAACCTGCCACTTACTCAAAAGAAAAACCAGCCTGCGTCAGGGCTTGGTGGGGGCTGACGGGAGGCCAGCCGGGGCTCAGCGGCAAAGGCTGCTGGAAACGGGGGAAGGGAAAGAGAGCTGATCTCTGTTGAGGACCTACTGTGCACCAAGCAGTGCGCTGGGCCTGTTACCTGCATCCTCTCGTTGGATCGTCACGGCAAAGCTATGTGGAAGGATTATGAATCCCTTTTCACATATGAGGGAACTGAGCCTCAGAGAGGTAAAGCCACTTGCCTGAGGTTGCACAGCCAGTAAGTGGCAGAGCTGGGCTAGAATCCACGCCAGATTGCAAAGCAGGTTTTCTCCCCAGAGCTTTCATAACTGAGCCAGCTGAGGGGCTGCTACCTGGAGGGAGAGGCCAGCCAGGTTGTGGTGTGATGTCTGAACATGGGTCAGAGAACTTGGGCGGGTGTGATTCACAGGAGTGAGATGCCCTACCGCTCATAGCAAAAGGCTCGGCCACTGTAACAGGAGAACTTGGTTTCTTTCTCATGGAAAAGTCCGAGATGAACATCCTGGGCCAAAGGGTGGCTCTGCTCCGCCTGGTCATGCAGGCATCCAGGTTTCAGGCTCCTCCATCTCTAGGACCTTGTCACCACCTGCAAGGTCGAAGCCACCGCCACATTCAGGTTCAGCCAGAGGGGTAGGGGAAGGGAGGGCAGAGGAGGCGTATCTGCTGTTTTCAGGGCCCCAGACACATCCCTTCCACTCACTTTCCACTGGCAAGACTCAGTCTCATACCTCCCTATGAGAAGGGCTGGCAAGTGTAGTTCCTTGCCAGGTGGCCCCATGCCCAATGGCGACTGGTCACGGGAAAAAGAGGAGGCACAGTCTGGCTGGCCACCTCTCGGTCTCCACCCAGTCACCCTCATACATCCGGTCCAGGCTTCAGGACACCATACGCAACCTGACTTCGGCTCAGTAGATGCAACCAGAAAGCAGCTCTGACCTCCCACTGCGTCTTTAAAACGGCCCTGGGCTTTATGTTCCCCTGCCCTCCGATGAAAACTTGGACTGTCCCATGATTTTTCTCACCTCTCCCAAAGGTACTTCAGGTGGCAAATGCAGCCTCAATTAAAAATCCTTGGCCTGTGTGACGATCGACATTTCCATCTTCATTCGAAGGAAAGCCTTTCCCTCCTTCCCCGAGCTGAGGTCTACTGTGCACACAAAGCTAGAATCAGGGGAAGACAAGAGCTGGCAGATTCTTTTTGTTCACTCTCTGTCTT